TGAGTGTTCAACATGGGCTTGGGCGGAAGTTGGTATCCTTACATGTGTATAAAAGTAAATTTCTTTGTGATTTCTATGTAAATATTTCTTCACTTCAAAAATCGTTGTACAATAGGCCTTAACAATAAGAATTAATTTCATTACATTTTAAATTGGAATGATTCTCTAATACGCTACTATAATGTCCAAATAACTTTATCTTACTTCCATTCTCATTTACAGTGTAATGAAGGGCAGCGCCTCCAAAATTCCATCTGAATCAAAAGCAATTTTTCTGACTCACCTAGATAGCAGAGCTGTCTAGTGCGCTGTTCCTATACTGCTAGGAGACAAAATCCGTAGGCCGAGTATTCAACCTCGTGCTGGGACAGAAGTTGCTATTCTTATAGAAGTGAATTTCTGTGTGCTTTCTATATGTATCATAAATGCCTCAACAAAAAATAAACACACATAGATCTCAAAGAAATTCATGTTTAGAAGGATACCATCTCCTTGTGGCAATGCACTTTGAAAAAAAAAATGCACTTTGATTTTTTTTTAAAAGTGCGTTTAAATTCGCAAAAAATCACCCCACTTAGAGTTTTTTTCTAAAGGTATGTCACTCGTCCGCTTTTTAGAAAAGTTCACGCAGAACCTCTTACTTCAAAACAATTTATTAAAACTCAATTTTTATTACATATTTAAATTCAACAATTTTAATGTTTCACTATGCAACGAAAAACTGCTCCAAAAGCTACAAAGAAGTAAGATTTATGAGAGACTATTTCTTGTGGTGGAAGGATATTTAGCAGATAATCTGCACATTCATTACGGACGCGATTGCACGGCGTCACGTGATCACGTTATTTGGTGACTAAAAAAGGAATGTTTGCTGTAACTATTTCCGGAATAAGGAGCGTGATATGTTTGCGCTCATGACAAAAAGGAAAAATAAGATATTAAAGGTTGTTACGATAAACTGAGAGTGTTGGTAAGCCTTGACCATATTTTTATCTACGTGAATGTGTTTTACGATTTGACACATTTAGCTATTGTGTATCTCTGAACATTGAAATCTAAAAATAAATTTAATTCATATCTTGAGGTTTATGTCCTCATTTTAAAATTAGAATTTTATTTAAGATTGTTTTTACAGTAGGATCTATATCTACGTAAAGACAATTTCCAATAGGAGATTCAGACGGCGTGATTTTCTAGATCCATGTATAAATACTTAGCATTGGTGAACGAAAGCGATATTGATATACGTATTACGATGAAGACCACTTATGCCTAGCAGACATATTTAAAAAACATATTGCAGAGGATTTTGTTTTATCCTATAAGATCTTTAGCATTTTCAGCAGTTATAGTACATCGGCCATGTAAACATTAAATCATTGTGGCATATAGCAGGTATAGCGTAAACGACTGTTGTAAAATGTTTAATGCGTCGTATTGAAACACAACTTCCAGAGAGGGAAGATATGTAGATAAAAAACATTTGATCTCATCATGCTTACGGAATATATTTGAAAAATGAAGTTAATTTTTGAAAAATCACAAGGACACGAACGTAGATGTTTCACTCCAGCATATATCATGAAGCGACGCAGACTTCATAATAGAGAAAGCGCTCATCCGTCTATAGGAGAAAATGAAGTACTCTTTTCACTTGCAAAGAATCGGAAAATATAGGTAAATATTTAAAATTAATTACTATAATATGCCAAATTAGATTATTCATAGATGAAGATATTTATTTTAAAAAAATTAATGCAGATACAAGTTCTGTGAAATAACTAATTAATTTTTCATTAAATGTGTTCAAATGTCTGACTACCCCCCCCCCCCCTCTCCGATTCAGGTCACCAAGAAGATACATCGCTGAGTGTTCAAAGCATAAGGGATTAAGCCTTTGAGGACTGTGCACTGGTTTAGAAAATATTATGTATTTACACTGATATTATAGTAACAAAATGACTGTTTTAGAGATGAGAAACTGAGTTTGAAAAAAAATGAAAGTTATTTTCATGACCACTGTTGGTGATAAGTAAATCATTATGCTTCACGTATAAAATGAGCATCAACTGCAAGATTTTCAGAGAAAAAATATTTATTTATCAATACATATGGCCTTTATTGTCTTTAATCCGATTATGTATATGTAAGGTCCAACAAGAAACCATCATGAAAAAAAAAATCATTTTACTATTAGCCCCACCCCTCCCTATATCTACGTAAGTTATTTATAAACTCGAATTTTGAAAAAGAAACGAAAAATAAATTAATCAATCATCTCTCAATTTTTTTTTCTAAATGACACATTTCTCTTTTATAACATTTATCCTAAATGATTTAAAACGTCACTATCTCGGGTCTAGAAGTGACCTCGGGCCAAAATAAAATTATAGTTTGTTTGGAATTGCCGCCCGCCTCATTGAAATACCCCCGCTCAAAAAATGTTATTGGCAAAATATTGACAATATTTTTTTTACCGCTTTATAGTCTAACGGTAACATTCGTTCGTCGAAATAGCTTTTTAAAGTCGGGTTTGAGCTCAGCGTTTTTTCCTTATATAACTGGTACCGATAAACTGCACCATCCCCAGTGCCGAAACGTTTCCCAATTTTGTGACCAAAAATTCCCAATTCAACTGTGAAGCAGCAGACTATGACGACATCATATTTCTTTTTACACGGAACAATGACTAATTATTTCACTTACGCTTAAATCAAAAGTAGGGAAAGTAATTTGGCGGGACCTGTGGTGTAAACAGCGTAATATCATACGTTTTGACAAATTGAAAGCATGAAAATATGGATAACATGGGACATTGATTTAAAAAAAGCAATAAGTTCTTGTTGCTTATTTTCAAAAACACGTAGTAATAGGTCATTTAGTTGGAATAAGCACAAAATACGTTTTATTTGATTAAATGAGAGAGAATTTTCATTGTTCTTCTTTGATGTTATTTTTCCCAATTGAACCTGTACCGGACCCTTTCCCAATAGGTGGGAAAAAAATCGCTGCTCCCACTAATTTAACAACACCAGTCAATAAAACGCTTTCTTCATAGTATTGATGATATAGCGATTATAGGTGATGATTTGACATTTAAAATGAAAGCCGCCAAAATGTCAGACCAGGTTGAGTCAATAGATGTTATAACATTCAAGCGTTGATGAGCAGAACATTTATGCATCTCTATAAAAATAAAAGGTGAATAAAAAATTAAATGGAATAATACACCGATACCTGGAAAAAAGCTATTGATCCTTTTAGATCTCAGTAAAAAAAAATACATGAATCAGATATATTTTATCCCAAATACCAAAGGAAAAATGTTGTCTGTCAGTATGACAAAACTGTTAAAACTGATTCATGTTGAACGCTCTAGAACCTACAATGTACAAAACACTCGTCCCTGCTTTTCCACGTGCACAAAACACTCCAACTATTCTTAAGAAATTTTGTGTGATTCGCATTGTTTAAGGGTTGTCTTAACAAAGGGCTAAATTTCAAGAGAAATGCTATAATTTAGACTAATAAAAGTATCGTTATTTTTTGTTAAAAAAATAAACTAGAATGTTTGATGCTGAAATTTGACTGTTATTAAATGAGCAGATCTAACATCTAAATAAGATTGATATTTTAGTACTGTTCTGTATATATATTTATATATTTTTCAAAATAAAAACAACAAATATTAATAAAATAAAAGAGGAAAATTAATAAAAATCACAAATGTTCATTGAGATTTTCATTTTTTATCATCTAGCTTCAGTTTGTAAAAAAAAAATATGCCTCCATCCCTCCTGGGTCGGAAAACCCCGAGACGGCAATTCCAAACAAACAATTTTTTAAGGGTGGCCTCATGCCGAAAATTTGTAAGAGCAATGATCAAGGTATACCTTTTTGTTTTCCAAATTGCGTTTATATGGTCGAAATTTAAAAAGATTTTTTTTTCAAATTGCGTTAGCTAGGTTTCAAATAAAACGCTCTTATTTTTTTTAAGTGCGCGTGACGCAGTGGTTAGAGCATATGCTCTAGAGTCTCGAAGTAAGGAGTAAATTTTTACGTCACGATTTCCAGTTCCATTGTTGGACGTGGAGACCAGTCGTTCGGATAAGACCGTACAAACCGAGGTCCCGTGTCGCAGTAAGTGCTTGAACGAAAAAGATCCCTCACTGCTCAAAGGCCCCGAGTGTCGAGCATAGGAAAAAATGTGTAGCCCTCTATCGGCAAGTGGTGGAGTCTCCATATGAGTGAAAAATTCTCCAGAGGGACGTTAAACAACATAAAATCAATCAGCCAAAGTGAATAATTTTCAAACATCGTTATAACATACCCTTTTCCGTTGCGCAAATCCGCTCGGTCATCTAAATTTCAATTGTTTCTAATCCAGATATAATTATTACCGCGTCTAGCTACACTATGAAGTCAATCGGAATTGAATGGATACGTTAATTTAGACAAAGGTTTCTAATACAATCTTCACTGACATATATATATTGCAATAAAAAAAATAGTTTAACTTACACATCAACTTTTAAACAAGGATCTTAATTAATAGAATCTCAAGTAAATCTAAATAAAAATCTCTCAAAATATTTTTGCTCATAGAAAGAAATTAAGCATGATATTTTATCATTATTTTTTTAATATAATTCATTTTTTTATTGATTGGTTATTTTAGAACATAACATTATCCCTTAAAGAAAATGTTAACCTCTCTTTATTTGAATGAGATTGATTTTCAATATTTTTTTTTCGTTAGGAAAATTAGTTTTCAATTCAAAAGTTATTTCATAAATGGTTTAATGTATCCCTATCAATAAATACACAGTAATCTAAATTGCGCAAAATCAATTAAGTTTGTTTATAAAAATGGAATTTCTTAAGATGAGAGGATAGAAAATTGAGAGATAAACCTAAAGAAATAACTAAAGTTTCAAAAGTTAGGAACTTTAGATTTTGCAACATATGAAAGGAGTAGAACATATCAAAGAAACGTTTACCTTCTCTGAATGCCTTAGACAGGGTACATTCTGGATAAAACAAACGCAGTTTATAAGCTAAGCTAAAAATAAAGACATAAATATTCATGAATGGGTGTTGAGATTTTAAGCGTCTCCTCAGATAACACACAAATAACGACGCCTGGATTTTAAGCTCTCCTTCAGTCTTACAGTTTTTAAAATCACCAGAAGCTTGGAAAACCTCCTCAATGGCCGGTAAGTACAAAATATAATGATTCTTATTGATAAGCAACAACAATTATACTTTATATCTGCTGGTATCGTTCAAAATTATCCAGCTTCTGATTATTGTATGCAAAGAACTATTTTCTAAGTGTTCCCTTTACCTGATGGTGATGTATATTATCTTTACAAAGTGACCCTAATTACATGCTCAACAAAGAAGACGAATTTCACTGATTTAAAATGAAATGTGGACATGACAATAAAATATACTTAGATAAACATTTTAGTTTTAATTTATGTAAGACTACTTTTCGAAAATTCATAAATGATAAACCCCAGTATTTAATTACAGTCAATTTTCATACCTTTCAACGCTCTTTCATCAACAACTTTTTAACAATAACACAAGAACTTTATTTTTAAACTTATTAATCAGTCATTTACATAATGAATTGTCCACGGAAAATTCCATTTGCCAGATCGTAACAAAAAACACACTACACTGCGAAAATGTTGCTGTTCATCAGGGAATGTTCATTTTAAAATTTACGTACTATATATTATATAATATTGGAAAGAGAGAAAGAGAGAGACTAAGTCCCAAATTCAGTCACGTTTTGCCATATTCATGTTTTTCTTTACAATTTTTCCCAAAAGTCAACCCCGGGTCGGGAAGTATGTAAAGACAGCTTTCTATCTTTCAAAACCATATCAATTTTTAATTGGACAGCTAAGTCGAATAATTTAAAGACTGTAGTAGAACGATAGTCAATTATTCTATGTAATAATAATAATTCTTTAATTTCATTTTTTTTTTCCGATTTGCCTTTAAAAGACTATAAGCTTGTATAATTCAGGGTTCTCCATGAGCTGTTTTACTGTGTTGCACCCGACACAGTAACGATTCAAATTTTATGCGTGCGACACAGTAAAAATTTTGCCGACACAGTAAGATCTGTGATTATTAGAAAATACAAACGTATAAATTTTATCTCATTGAAACTTTAATCAAACAATCCTACCGTCTTCAATTATAACAGGTAGAGCACACCTTGCATAATCAATTATCTCCTAGACCCTCGCCGGATCTACGCATGAAGGAACAAAGACAAATAATTTGTAACGGTTAATTAGCAGTTGCATTAAAAATACATTGTACTATTTTTTAAACAATATGTCTTTTCTAAAGATCTAAGGCTCTAGAATTATGTTGGTACTGCGGTAAGTCAAACATAGCTATAACCATCGTACCGAAATCATTTAAAGTCCTACACGCTATATGAACGCCGACTTTTGTGTAAAACAAAATTATTAATGATTTGAAACACATGGAGTGTAATGAAATAAATAAAACTCTCCACAAAATTTTACGATAGACTTCGTTGTAATAACAAAACAATTAAGCAATATCTGGCAATAAAGAATTCAGTCTTTTCATGAATATTGATGAAGGAAGTGCGTAAACAGTAGGCCTATATATAGACATGCATGTCCACGGGAAATCACAGACAACGAGGTATGTTGCATTTTGACAATAATTGATAAAAAGTTAATATGTGTCATAACAGAGTAGATGGTTGATACTGATTACATTAAAAGATAAGTAACATGAAGAGTAAGACGCTTGCCATCCACGTCAAAAGTGAGTAGTATCTTAAATGCCCAATATGTGTCATAACAGAGTAGATGGTTGATACTGATTACATAAAAAGATAAGTAACATTAAGAGTAAGACGCTTGCCATCCACGTCAAAAGTGAGTAGTATCTTAAACGGCCTACCTTGTTTTCTTCATGCCGTGTTTGTTTATAAGTCTAAAAGTAGCGACGGCGTCACATGATGGATTTATTTAAAAATAGCTATTTTTCTCCCCTAGCAAGGATATAAATAATTATAATTTGATAACTGTATAACTCGTTTGATTTTAATAGTGTAATTTACAGTATTTTCGTACATTTTTTTTATAAACAAAATATATAAATCTCCAATCTTATTTTGACTCGCGCAAGTTATAGCGTGTATACTTTTAATTGATGTAGATGAATTGTTTTAATTTTTCAAGGAGCTTATAAAAGTATTTAACTATTCTGAAGTTTATTTTTTGGTAATTCGATAAAAAAATTTATTCGATCAAGAAAACTGACAAAAATCACGGGAAATTTACTTTCAAAATGGTAAATAGTTCGACTGTATCGACCAGAATTTCCTCTGCTTTTCAGAACATGTGTTTTTACTTTTATCAATATGTACAACCATACATTTTGTGTAACGAATTAGTAATTTTTAAAAGAAATGTGTGATGTATTCTTTTGTAATTATAATGAATAGTGATTCAGTTGCGAATTTGATCGCGAAAATGCCACGAAATTTTAGTTCTTCGCGTAAACTCTGCAACACAGTAAAATTTCAAATGATGGAGAACCCTGAATAATATTTTATCAACGTTATAATCATAATAAAAGTGTAACAAATTATAATAAAGTTAACAATTAAGTTATTTTTAAGCTATTATTTTAATGATACACTAAAGTTTTTTTTCAAGCAGCGATATCATCTAATAATACCCCCGCTTCCAATATAATTCTAATGGCAGAGTCCATGTTTTCATCTAGGAGACGCAAACTAAAATTAAACATGGGATGCACAATGGCACTATATTACAAAGAATTTGTAAAAGTCTCATTATATTTCAATCATTGATATAAGAGGATTGAGTAGCATATACGAGATAGGTACCCAAAAGCGTAATAGACGGATGAACCTACAGATGAACAGACATTCCAATCACTTTATACCCCCCCCCCCCACTTTTCAAACGGGGGTATAAATATACTAAATGCAATGTGCGGTTTCACAACCTTAAGTATATCTAGTATATTGTCCCAAAAAAATGTAACTTTGGTTTGTTTGTTATAAACAAATTATATTGACAACATGTCAAAGAGCTTGGACACAAATTCATAAAAATTATATAATTTTTTATTAAAACTCCTGCTTGAAAAGTGGGAGAATATACTGTAATCGGTTTGTCCGTCCGTCCGTCTGTCTGTTACGCTTTCGGGTACCTATCTCTTATCCACAACTCCTCTTATAACACTGAGTGAAATTTAATGAAACTTTCACAGAATCTTTATTACATATTGTAATTGTGTACCTACTTTTTTGCTTTTTTATCCGATACATATTTTGGGTTTCCCGGCCATAGCAAAACATGGACTTTGCTATTACAACCATCTGGGAGGCGAGGAGTATCAGTTAGTGAGCTCATTCCTCACAGTATCTCTAGTTATCTAATTCAGTGCAGTGAATTTCTACAAATAAAAATATTTTTCTTTGAAAAATATTTCTGTTTCAACAGTTATAATTTTTACATTGTGAAACACGTTTTATACTCTGTCGAAAAGTATGACAAATCCCTCAAATTGAGGGACACGTAAATCGTAGTTTATATAATTCGTAAAATTGGATTATTTGGGTTTTTTATATCGTAAAACCACATACATGTATAACGCTGAATTCCTTACAATATTAAGAATTGCTTAATGAATGTTGCATTTAAAGAACTTAGTTGTCATGAAAGCGTTGTTGCATTTTAACGCAAAGTCACAAATTCATTGGATTTATTCGATAATTATTTATTGAATCATGTTAATTTTCACAAATATGAAAATTTCCTTGCTTTACTTTTTTTTTATTACACCCACTCCCCTCAGTGCTTGAAAGTGTGAGAGTGTACAGTAATCTAAATGTCCGTTAATCTGTTCGTACGTCTAGATGCCTTTACGTCCGTCTGTTACGCTTGGGGTTACTTTTATCAACAGACCTTTTTTGAGATATCTTTTGAAAGATCTTCAAATTCAACAAGTCTTTTGTTTTACATATTTTAACAAAATATTTCTAGGTAAAAAAAGAATAAAAATTTAAAAGCTATAAGGGATTTAGAAATTTGCGAAAGAACTATTTTCGGGCCATAGCGAGCGTCGGCACTTTGTACATCCAGGACGAGATGGCAGGCAGCAGGGATGATAGAGAAACCAAAATTCAAACTTCACAAGAATTTTTTTTTTTCAAAAATATTTTGTGCTGAGAGATTGCTAAAATAAAAACTAACATCAATTTATTGAATCCATTTTGTCGGATACAAAAGCGTGAGCTCCCGTTAAAATATATGATGTAGATACTACATTTGTCTATAAAAATATTCAATTCTCTTTAGGTCGCGTATTCCCTATCATCATTTAGTCATCAGATTAAATACATCTTGTAAAACCATGTATCATCATTACTTCTGTTTGTGACAGGAAGTGATACGAAAAGTGATTGTTTTTTTTAAGCTCTCGTTTTGTTTCTACATACAACGATTCAATGCAAACCATTTTCACAAGAAATGCATTGCAAAAAACCCACTCTAAACACTGCACAACGATTTGCAACACGAAGTATACTAAGTAAAGGCCTTTTAATAGGCTAATGAGTTGCCAGCAATTATTAATATTATTATCATTATTACCATAAAAATCAAATTTCTTCTCCGGTTCTTATTGGCTTTGAGTGGTCGGTTCCTACTCAAACAATCAAATCTAGTCATTTTATCATTATAAGCAGGTCGTGTTGAATGTGCCCATCGATGCCCAAATTGCATTTTTTTTTTACAAAATCTCTTATTCGAAAAATGTATAATTACCGTAATCCTCATTAGTTTTGAACATGTTTTTATTTTGTTTTCTGTGAATAAGAATTCCAGTATTTTTTGAAAAGGACACAATGAGTCAAAATCATGTCTTTCTTTTAAGATATCTGTAGCATACAGAGAAAGACTTATGAAAATTATGAGTATATAGCTAAGATATGACAATTAAACTGCAAGAAAAAACTGCACGATATAAGTGCCGGAGAAACAAAGGTTGTATCTACCATTTCGTTGTTTTCGTGTTTGTCAAGGTCACGCCATTTTTATTTTTAGCTCAAACTCGTAAACAACATTAAAGTGGAACATGCAAAGGTAAGAAATATGTTCTAACAACGTTTTAA